GGGAGGGAGGGGGGAGGGAGAGAAAAAGAGGCAGATGGATACACACACTGTGAGAAAGAGACAGACAGAGAGTCAGAGAGACAGAGAGACAGAGACAGAGAGACAGAGAGTCAGAGAGACAGAGAGATTTTAGTAATTGTTGCAACATCAGATAAAATATTATTGCTAATAAATTCAACGTAGCTCGTGTACCCATTCATTTAGCCCTCATTTTCACTTACACTGTTTGACTCTGCTATGTTCTCTGTGAGATTTCAAACATGTTGAGGACTTTGGCCTTTATTTTTCAAGTTAGCAACTTACATAACAATGATAAATATTGGTAAAAGTAATTATTGACATGGAAAAATCAATGACTAAACAGATTTGACTTAATAACTAAGATGTAATTTTAAATGAAAATACTTTACTTCCCTTTTATTTTATTAAAATTAAAATACTTAGGACCTGACACTAGGTGGAAAGTTGTAGTCATGCCTGTTTGTCACATTGTAGAGAGAAGAAATGGTAGTAATTGAGTTTTAAAACTACTGTTACAGGGCTGGAGAGATGCTCAGTGGTTGATCAGTTCTTGTTGTTCCTGCTGAGGACTCAGTTTAATTTTCCCAGTACCCACATAGTGGGTCACAGCTACCTGTAACTCCAGTTACTGGGGACTTGGAGCCCTCTTGTAGCCTCTGCAAACACTGCACAAAAGTGTACATCTAAATACATGCAGGCACACATACACATAAAACATGTGAGTATTTTTAAAAGTATTATAATGTTTTTTTGGCAACTAAGAAAGTTCAAGAGAAAAATGGAAAATGATAATTACATAACAGACATGTCATTATCTCAGAAGATTAAGACTAAGTAGCAAAAAGAAACCAGTTTTTGACTTATGATACCTTTCTACTGAAATCATTAACAAATATGTTAAACTTTCATTTTTAGAATCATGTAGAAAGTTACACTTGCTTTAGATAGAAATGTGACTGACATTCACCTAGGTCTTCAGTTCTGGAAAAAATAGCTTTGATGATAAAAAAATAAAACCCAAAGGACCAGCCCTCCTTGTTGGACATAAAATTAAGACAGAATGTAATCAAGCATTTAACAAACAAAAACTACTTACTCTTTACTGTGCAGACTGGGAGCTATTCAAGTACTAGCTAGTATAATGTTTCCCAACATTATAAAGGGTCACAAACCCTTTGGGGTCATATATCAGACACCTGCATATCAGATATTTACATTATGATTCATAACACTAACAAAATTGCAGTCTCAAAGTAGCAAAAAGATGTTACAGGTTGAGGGTTCCATAACTTAAGGTACTGTATTAAAAAGTCACAGCATCAGGAAAGTTGAGAATCACGGAGTTAGGTACTATTATTTGAAGAATCTTGAAACCAGGAGGGTTTAATGAGGCATCCTCCTTGGGGACAACTCTTGGTAGCTCTATGGCACCAGAAGATTTCATGAGTATGCAAATTTGACTTAATTAATCAATTAAATATTTTTCTCTTTCACTATGCAGAATAAAGGCCTAGCATGATTGTTTTATTTTTGGCATTCTAAAAACAATAAGCCATCTTTGCAACATGATTGGAGGAGAAGAATGTATTGCAGAAAAAATGCCATTGATTGAATAACATGAAGTCAGGGAAGCAGCTATGCTTGGAACACATCAGGAGGGAGTGCTGTGCTGAGAGATGGGCTTAAAGATCATCAGCATTCCCTCTAATTGTTAACTGTGGGAAGATGAGTGTTCATTTTTATCATAATTCTATGACTTATTCATGTGTGTTATGTACACTTTATTCTATATATGGCAAAGTTCCCAATTTTGAAAATAAGGATTAAAATGGTGTTTAAATTTGTTGAATTTTAAAAATCATTCTACATATCCTTCTGTTAGCCCATCTCATGTTTGATCATTACAATGACAGAGAATTTCATATTTTTCTAAGTCTATTGGCCTTCTATTTCTTTTTAAAACATTTTAAAGATAATTTTAGTCTTATGCTGGGCAGTGTTATGCTCAAATGTGCTACCACATGCATGCATTGCCAGAAGAGGCCAGAAGAGGGCATTGGATCCATCAAGTGGGTGTTGTGAATCCAACCCTGGTCCTATAAGAAAGCAGCCAATGTCCTTTGTTTCTGAGCCAAGAGGAGAAATACACACACTTTGTGTGTGTGTGTGTGTGTGTGTGTGTGTGTGTGTGTGTGTGTGTGTGTG